CTCAAAGGAGCACACCATACTATCTAAATAAACACGGTAAAAATTTTAATAGTGGAGGCATGATAGGATGTTAACGGAAACACGAATAACCCAAGGGCAGAAGGGGAGATACAACAATTGTTTAACACACGTTTGGTCAAAGTATCAGCTTCACTTATCTCTTTGACGAGTTGTTGCATAGTGCTAAGAATGGCGATACTCATTGACGGTGCCGACTAAGATGCCGGCGAAACTTTTGGGAATGTACCATGTCCACGGTTCAACTTTGGAAATGATCATGCAGACAATGGACTCCGGACTAAATGCGTTCCCTTAAGTCTTCCTAACAATATAACCATGTTGCGAAAACAAGGTCAAACAACCTCTATATAACGAAAGGAGACTGCGACCACACAAAAGGCCACACCATCTTGGTCTTCATACCTTCGATTAAAATATGGAAGTAATATTGCCAAAGAATACTCTTTTTAACTTTCTTCACATTATCGTTTGCTAAACATTTTTTCAGTCTAATTAACAGCAAGCCATTATTTAAACTAATATTTCCTGAAAGTATGAAGACCAAGATGTGTGTGGCCTTTTTTGTGGTCTCAGTCTCCTTCCTCTCCAGTATAGAGGTTGTTTGACCTTGTTTTCGCAACTTAGTCATATTAGTAAGAAGACTTAGAGGAACGCACCTAGTCCGGAGTCCATTGACTACATGATCATTTCAAAAGTTGAACCGCGGACGTGGTACATTCCCAAACGTTTCGCTGGCATCGTGGTCGGCATCGTCAATGAGTATCGCCATTCTTAGAACCATACAACATCTCGTAAAAGAGACAAATAAGCCTATCCTTTGATCAAATGTGTGCTAAACAGTTGTGGTATCTCCCCCTCTGCCCTGGGCTATTCACATTCTTTATATCCTCCTATCACACCTTCACTGTCACAATTTTTTACCGTGTCTATTTAGATGTAGTGCGATATGCTCCCTTGGGCGGCATTGATGAAAACCTTTCACACTCCGTCGTAATTATGCCCTTCACCCTTGTGCTAGGAATGTTGACCAGAGGGTCCAACTCTGGAAAGTATTATGCATAAAATGGACTCTGGACTAGGTGCATTCCTCTGAATCTTCCTACCAATATGACCAAGTTGCGAAAACAAGGTCAAACAACCTCTAATATTTCCAGAATCTATCTAATGTACTAACTAATAAAGTAGCTGTTATCATTCCACAAAGGGAAGTAATATGGTGAGGCTGTTTTGTTCTAAATTAATGCCTTACATTATTCCCTGACTATACGATTTTTGTGACTTCTTCACAAATAACTTACTAGTATTGTTAATTTTTGCTTATTTAAATGATTATCATTGGCCATCTTGGATTTATTGCCTCTCTCCTAAGATGAGAATTTATTGAATGCGTTCTATATTTAATAGGACATCTTCGACTTTACACGAAATAGGAGATTTATTCAGACAAGATGAGGATTATTAATAATAACAACATTCCTGCATTGAAAAAAAAATTGTTCACTAATTGACTATCGTTCTTAATATGGCACCCTATCTTAGTTAAGGTTCTCTTTATATTGATCTATTTTAGTTCTATACTTAACTGCAGAGTAAATTTGCTACGATTCTAGAATAAAGCACATTTAGGATAATTTAGGCTCTTATATAATAGAGGCCTGGCTTCCTTTTTTCTTTAACTCTTTCTTGTGGCGAACCCAACCTTTAGCCTGACCTACATTTGCAACCTTATGTTCGCCACATATGCTATTCTCAGTTTCATTACCTCGTAAAGCTTTTCTGTACTTTTTGACTCCACCTTTTTTTGTAGAGTTGGGACTGGAATTTAAATTTTTATATATTTTAATTCATTTTTACCACAAATTTTCGTCATCTCTCAACATAATATTCTTATGTTTTAGCATGATTATATGAACATTGATATGGGCCCTATGATAAATGACTACTCGCAAACAGTTTCGCGGCTACCTGGAGGCGGCGGCTCCCTAATGACTCCCAGCTTTCCGCGTCGAACGATCACTCGATCCGCGCTTTCTCGAGGACGCAGCCTCCGCGACACTGCTGAATCACCTCCGCCTCCTGCCCCTCCTCTTCCGATGAGATGCCTGAACAAGGCACCTAATTCCTTACGACGTCCACCGTCTATACCGGTTTCGCCACCGTTGCAGTCTCAGCCGCAACCACCATTCAGTCTTTCCAGCCAGATTCTTGGCGACCTTACAACGACTAGCTTCCAACAAGGCAGACGGATGCAACAAATTGGCTATCATCTCAGCGATCGCATTTCTTCGGCTCGGCTGGCTAGCAGCCCAGCTAACCCTGCTTGCCCCAATGGTCTGTCGCCTGAAGAACATCTATCTCTAAATCCTTTGTCTCCATCCTCACCTCTCAGTTTAGCCCCGCATAGGCCTAAACCTGGTCAATTGCTAAGATCCGGAATAATCACTAGAGGGTCGATGCCAGCAGTTCCTCTACTAAAGAAATTAAACAATGCGGAAACGTCGGCTGTAGGAAGATCGTCCGGTGTTATCCTAATGAGCCCTCAAAGGAATATGGCTAATCGTGAGGGCTGGCCAAAAGTTGGTCGACACAACTAGCCTTATTATCCAAATGTTCGAACCTTCGGCAGTGCTGTCTTCACTCTGACGTTCAAGGTAAATTAAATGGGGGCTTCGTTTTCACTTATCCTAACCTTAAATAGGCATTAAGTAGACTCTAAAGTACAAGTATTTATGGAAAAGAGAGGAACAGAAAGCCCTTTTAACTTCATTTATTCCATAATTATTTTCTTATCTATATAATAAACAAGTTGTATTTAAACCATCATTTAATTTCATTTAATAGTGAAATAATGAGTCGCTCTTAGCTTGATTGGTGTTGTATAGACTGATAGTGACTGAATAAAATGAATTGAAGAGAAACTTGATTTTGCTTAAACAATTTCTATATCATGTGACCAAAAATTGTTTTTCTATCAATGTCTTTCCACGTTTAAGATATCGACTATTTCATTAACACGTCTGACGTAGTTCAGCATCATTATTTAAAACGACATGCAGATATAGCGTCCTGCTCGTTAACAATTTCTTCTTTATACGTTACCTTTATCAGTATCTTTAATGTTTTTTTCAACCGAAAATAAAAATAAACACCCATATATCTGAATCCATTTCAGTTTGCTCTAAGTTATAGACCTAGGTTAATTTGCACTATATTATATTTCACTTTGAAGCAAATCGGGAAAAAGCGAAATCAATTATCCTCAAGGTCATATCATGTGTACCGAACTAGTATCTTCTTGCAATATAAGCTTAAAGTCTGTCATTTTAGCTCACTTTTATTTTATAAATAATATTCTATCAAGCAAAACTAAACGGAGATCTTATGCAATATGTTTCATCACAGATCTATTTTATTTGCAAATATTAAATGATATCTTTT